TTTTTTTTTCTGGCCACTCCCGTTTTGTGACTCTCTCACAGTACCAAAATGAAACCAAATATGCATTTCGGCATTACATTTTGAGGGCCTTGAAAAGGTAAGTGGTGAAAATAAAAAAAAAAAAACAAAGAAATGTTGATTGACATTCACCTCTTATGGATATTTGGAATCCCAGCCTGCCAAAATGGGGTGAGCTTAACACTACACCCAAATCAAAATTTGAAGTTTGGATTGAACCTCATGACTTAAATGGATTAATTAACTTAAAAAACTCCTCATTTAATGGATGGAAGTTTAAACTATTAAGAACGACCGTAATAGTATCAAAATTTAACAATCCTAAATTCTTTCATCACCTTTTTTAAATGATCCTAAGAGATAAAAAAAGTTGAACACTCTTTCAGCTAAAGCTTCTAAACTTATCAATCCCTTGGGATAAGCCAGTTGAAAAATTAATTTCTGCTGGACAGTAAACAATGAACAATATATAACTAAAGGCCAGTTAATTATCTTACGGCTAAAATACACAAGGAACTATTACGGAAAAACTTAATTACAGCGGCATTTTGCTTTTCTCGTCTCAGTGGTCATGCAAAGTTGCAAACTAAGGTAAACGTGTTACGAACTTACCAGCCTCGATAAACGTTTTAAGGCCTTCCGTAAGAGCAGGCTCTTGGAATTTGAAAACCTTTTCTAGAATTTCGCGATACTTCCCCGTAATATCCTTGTGTGAACCACTAGCACTGGACAGAGAGTTCCACATTTGCTTTACTTGCGCCGCCATCTTGCTTCGGTGTCGTTGTCCTTGTCTGTGTGGGGTGGAGTGAGATGTCTTATGTAAGCACCGAAAGACCAAAATAATAAGTCTGAACCTTAAAACGCCATATCAAACAGTGATGCAATTTTCCTTGATAATATTTTTTACGCATTTTGGATTAAAAGCGATAAAACAAATCACAAATTGAGTTTTTAAATATCCTGTGTAATTTTCTTACCCCGCCCTCACTGGGAATAATTGTCGCACAATCCAACCTCACATTCGTGCAGAAGAGCCACTTCAATATGGCGGCTGCAAACGAGAATGGCAATGGTCAAAGCTTCGAGGATCTGCTGGATAATGAAGGCACTACTGCTGGTGCCCTTGTTCTGACGGCATTTATGACCACAGCAACCCAACCACTGACATGTGTTAGGCTTCTAATGCAGGTAATTGTGGACGTTTATAGTGTAAAACTGTTGGCTTTCACTTCCTTTATTTGCGGGCGCGCTCAGCCCTCCAGTAGCAATAAAAGCTTATGATAAGCTCAATTTAAAAAGTTCAAATTGGCTTATATCTCTAAAACTACCCTTTTACCTTTATCTTACCAATGATTTGTTGTTTTTTAAAACGGCTGGCCTTGGAACCGAACTAAGCTAAGCCCTAGCTGGTCCGGATCATGTCCCGATCGACCTCCGATCGACCTTCGATCGATACCCTCCATCGACATCTTGAGCAATTGGTACTAGATCGATATCCCAATCGATACTCGGTCAACATCCCAATCGATACTCGGTCGACACTCGATCAACACCCAATCAACAGTCGGTCGATAGTCGGCTGAGTGTCAACCGACATCTTTGCATCGATCGGAAATTAGTTGACCAGTCGACTGAATGTTGGCTGAGATGTTGATCGAGTGTCCATCGAGTGTCAACTGAGATGTTGATGGAGTGTCGACTGAGGGTCGGTCAAGGGTATCGATCGAGGGTATTGATTGAGGGTATCGATCGAGGGTATCTGATGCCTTTAGTACATGCATGATCTGCTCGTCCTAGGCTCCTAGCTAGGTGGTAAGTAAAACATAGTACATTTTCAAGCATCACTGGAAAAACGTAAAGACATTACACACTCAGATATCTTCATCAGTTGGAATACTATCACTTCAAATTGGCTTTTTGGGTGGTTTTGTTAGAGGCCACCTAAGTGTAACAAGTTATGCAAATGATGACAAGCTAGCGATAAAAGGTGCATTTCCATGCATGTGCGACTCATGCAACATCAATACTAACAACAAGGGTTTACATCCAATCCCTTGCTGTTACCTGATCATCTAAATCAAGTTTTAGCCAGTGAAATGGCAGCAATGAGACGTGGGAAGGGCGAGGGGAACAGGGGGTTCAGAACCTCAGGCCTCCTGTACTCTGGTCTCCCACTTCCCGTACCATTATCTCCTGACTCCTGCCCTTGTCTGTCCTGCTTCTGTCCCTAGTAAATAAGGAGACTCAAAACACATCCTAGTCATTTAGCTTCGTAATCCTTACATTTTTTTTTTAACTTTGTTTTCAGCCTTGCTCCTCTTACTACTAGTACATTATTTTTATTGTCGGAGCTTTGCTCCTGGTAACATCTAATATAATATTTTCATATGTTTATTTTGTCCAGTTTTAGAGGTTAACAATTTTTCTTTTTGTGAATGACATCAAGGTTGGTCATGAACCAATTCCTCCAACTCCATCAAAAACATTCTTAGGAACCAAGGTGTTACGACTACCAAGCTTTTTTCAATATGGTAAGGGACTCTAGATAAGGCTGTTACAGTACATTTCCCCACAAATTATACGTGTATAATATGTACCTGAATACACTGGCTACAATACGATATGCAACAACTCTGCCACCGAACAACAATTTATTATTTGCTGTTGCCCAGATGTTTTGCTACTGTGATTTTGGACGACCAAAGCTGTACAGCTCTGGCAAAAGAAACATGCATTTTGGAATGGTAGACATTACATCATCTTGAATGAACTGAATAAGACAAGAAATAAGAGAATTAGTGCAGACTGTATGTCAGTTTTACAATAAATCACTATTAATGGATCACGTTCTGGACTTTAGTGAGGACTCATTACTGTTGTGTATCTATGTTAGGTTAATTTTATAATCAGCTAGTATCAATTTCTTTGTTTTTGTATTTTAGCAAACCATGTTAAGAAGCTCAATGGCTGGAGTGGATTGTACAGGGGTTTATTACCAAGGTAAGGCTTGCTTTTAGTCAACAGTTTTAATGACTGTTTTCAATTCCATGCAACTATAAAGATCAGTTTGACATGAATCTCACTTTTTATAACAAGAATTCACACTTGTCTTTAGGGTCTACTCATCCATGATTGGAACTCTTGTGAACAATACAATTCTACAGGTATGAGAACAAATGTTGCTTAAAATGCATGTATACAAAAAAAATGTCTCTCTCTTTCCCTACGCTTTCATGTGAAGCTGTCTTTCTCTGCTCATTTCAATCATGGACACTATGTTCCATGTTGCTTCATGAATTTTCAAACCTAACTGCTGCTTGTTGAGCTGAGGTCCACCAGGTGTTTCTAGATCTTAAAATTAATAAATGAAATAAATATATGCATGTACAGAATATATTGACAAGTTGATTAATACAGTGGAACCCCATTAATCCAGTCACCAATGGGCCACAAAAATCTGGTCGTATTAATGGGGTGGATGTATTAAAGGGGTTCTTTAAATAAGAAAATGACTGACTGGGCTTTTGTTTGGGCCAGAATAAATTGGCCGTAATAACGAGGTGGCCATATTAACGGGGTAGTCGTAAGGCGGGGTTCCACTGTATATTTAATTGAATGGTGTCATCTTTGGTTTTTTACAGGCAATGGGTACAAAAGATAATGCTCTTGTCCCTCTTGTACACCCAGAAAATAAGGTTGGCTAAATTTTTTTCGGTACTATAATGATTTAATTTAGGGCCCTCCATCCAATAAGTGCCCCCACAGCCCATAGAGTGCCCTTTTTTGGTAAGCGCCACTATTCCAATAATCACCCCCTTCTGGTAAGGGCTCCAAAAGCAAAAGTGACATTCAAGAAATTGACAAAGAATAGCTTAAAACTGATTATTAATAGACTCGTTGTGAATGAATAATGAAGTCTGCTTTATCATCTGAGTGTGATATGGAACATTATTTTATGACCATCAAAGCCCCTATTGCAGAGCTCTTAAGTCTCACGCAAACAAATTTAGTCTTATGCTGTCACGCTGAAACTATTATTTCTCACGCATTTAAGATTCCTTGCTGCTTTAGTGAAGTTCCTTCATAATAAACTATCTTTTATGATATAATTCATCCTTGTTCGGTCAGTGATCAGACTGACAGCATCACATTTCTGCTCAGAATGAAGGAAAACATGTCTTAGCTACATCCATTTTTCAAAATTTCCCGGGGGAGCATGCCCCCAGGCCCCCCTTGTGGGGTGCCGCCTGTGGTGTCACAAACAATGGCTATGCTGTTGAAGATCGCACTCTTTGCCAACAAATAAACTTGAGAGCTCTACTATTGTTACTGTTTGTGGGTTGAGGAATGTGTTGTTTTTCGTTGAAGTGTTGTATCATGTGGCGATGAATTTTTTCCTAATGGAAATAAGCACCTCTCTCTAATATGCACCTGTCAAGGCGTGGTGGCTCCAGGGTCAGGTTGCGTGCCTCTGGATCAAGCGGTCTGGGTTTGAGCCCTGACCAGGGATATTGTGTTGTTTTTCTTGGGCAAGTCACTTTATTCTCACAGTGCCTCTTTTCATTCAGGTGTATAAATGGGTACTGGTGAATTTAATGCTGGGGCGTAACCCTGCAAGTGACTAGCATCCCATCCAAGGGGGAGTAGAAATACTCCTAGTTGCTTCATGTTACTGAAACCAGAGAAAAGAACCAACCTTATCTTATGGGCTGCTTGGCTTGTATGCAGACTTTACCCTTTTTTTGCTTTACCTCTAATAAGTGCCCCCTTTCCAATAAGTGCCCTCCCTTAAGCTTGAGCTACCAAAAGTAAATTAGTAGTGCCCCAGGTGCTATATCAAATCATTAATGGTAATTATGATGTATGACTTGCTTAACATTCCTTGCATCTGGCATGGCTGTTTTCTTTATTTGTTTTTCATGTTTCTAGACCAAAGAAGAAGAGTTGCTAGAGTTCGCAGAGGAGGTAAGTAAAAGTTTTTGTTTCCTCTCGTTGGTTATGGCTAATAATGAATTGTAGTTCACATCTTATTTTGCCATTTATTTTTTCATTGAATTATGCTGGTGGGAGGGAAGGAGGTAGGGATGGGGCAGAAAGTAATGCCGCCAGAGGAAAGAGGTGAGTCATATTTCCAAGAAATCATTTTTGCTGAGTGGTGTGTAACGTCATCTCATTGTTCCAGGTGTCTGTTTTTAGAGTTCATACAGGCACGGTATAATATTATAACTGCAAGCTTTACTTGATTGTATCTTTTTGATAGGATAATTTTGAAGGTTTGCCAAAAATAGTGGATGTTTTAAAATGTACCCCCAAAGCAGTGGTATCACAGTGTAATAAAATACCAAACATTATGAACAAAGTTATCACAGGTCTCCTGTTAATAGTTGATGTTAGAATTTGAACTTCTTTTCCTTTAGACTTGTATGCAGACTGTGGCAAAATGCAGTGCTCTTATCATCAGTCACCCATTTTATGGTATGTCAAATCTGTGTTTTTGGCAGTCAGCCTGGAGACTTACATGTATATGAGGGTACCATTACAGCCACACTATATTTGCATGTAGAATAAATTCTTATTTATTCAGTGACTCAGGAAATAATTTCTGTATTTTATTGCTTATGTTTTAAGTAAACAGCTTTTCCTGATTAAATTGCAGTAATCTCAGTTAGGATGATGGTTCAGTTTGTTGGGCAGGAAACAATTTACAGGTCGGTGTTTTTGTGTGGGATACCTGTGGTATCCCACACTATTGTCATCAGCTCATGACCGTTGATTCAAATGAGGTATCCCACCAATGTACCCTTTGGGCACCTATTTTTTTGTGTTGCAATTTACTGAGTTAAACATGATGCTGGTGGGTTGCTAATAGTTGATTAAGCATCTCTCAAAATTAATTAATAATATGAACTTAAGAATTATCGAAGACTCCTTTCAGACTCTTTGTGCCTGTAACTAAATTATAGTATTTGCATCATTGTGGTGTAACATATTACCAGTAACTGTACGTGAAATGCAACTGTATTAATGACAAAAATGTGTTTGTTTGTTTCACATACTTGAAACTTATTTTTTCATCTTATAACTAACTAAAAATTTTATTATTAATATGCAATGTGTCTATGGATATTGTTTCTGTGACATCTATAACAATATATTTTTTTAAAATTTAATTACAGGTTGTATAAAATTTTATGTTGCTACAAATAGCAAAATAGCTCTGTAATTGCTTCTAAAACTAGTTTTGTTTGTTTTCAGTGGCCTTCGAGCTTCAATAAAAGAGATTTACAACAATGAAGGCCTTGCTGGATTTTTTAGGTGTGAATAATTGCTGAAATTAGTGATATATTCAGTAAAGTACTTAACTTTCAAGTTGCCATCAGATATTACATATAAACATCATGCCAGTTATGAACTCTCAGTGGAATATCCTTCCACTCGAAGGTCTGTTCAGGAAGTCATACGTTGTATAATGACAGCATCACGTCAACACATTTCTGATTTTGTATCCCATCTGTTCTGCTCTCGTGGAAGATAGTGTGTGGTCATTAACTGTTGAGCTTGAATGATGTCCTGGATTAACTGGCTAGACGATCTCATACTAAAACTTGAGTTACATAGTCTAGTAGAATTATTGATTTCCTGCTAAAGACCTTCTCCCTTTTTTCTCGATAGTGGTGTTATTCCTCGTCTTCTTGGAGAAATCCTTTCACTGTGGTTATATAGAGGAGCTTGCTTCCTGGTTAGCAAATATGCCATTGATAGTGAGGTAAGGAGTGAGAATATTAACTTCTTAAAATGTAGTCAGTGAACAAACATTAACAGTGGTTAAGTTTCATGCATTCAATGACGATCTTGTTACTCCTAAATAGTTTTAATGTTTTTTGATAACGATTGGTGGCAGCTTGAAAGCCAATCGTGTCACTCAAATTTACCTAGCGTTGTGCCATTCCAGAAAATATCCATACCCACCCAAAGGAAGGTTAATGGAAATTACAAGGAGGTGGGGGTTTCAAAAGCCAAAATTTCAAAGGAAAGTAGGAAGCTAAGCTGGTATGGATATTTTCTGCAACAACACATTTCTTTTGTTCTTGGCTCTGAAAGTTCTTTAAAATTTCAATTTCTAGGTCAGTAGGAGAAAAGAAGTGCAGGTGTATACAAATGGACTTTTCCAGGTATGTTGTCTGATTCAATCCAAGATAGATAGATAGATAGACAGACAGACAGACAGACAGACAGGCAGATAATCTTTATTTATCCACGGTACAAAATTCGTCAGCTCTAAAAATACCTATAAAAATACCTAATACTGATATAATGAGAAATATTTGAATAAAAAGCTGTTTTTCACGAATGCTGTGCCTTACAGTTCTTCTTTGAGTAGTTGTTTGAATTGCCCAAGGGACTCTGCTTCCCTTAAGTTACAAGGAAGACTGTTCCAGAGAATGGCACCACTATGTAAAACTAAAAGTAAAACTGAAAGAAGCCCTTACTGTACAGTGTGCTGCCTTCAACTGGAGACACAATCATGAATACTACACAAGTATTCTTGGGCTCATTGACTGGTACAAAGAAAGTTCATTTACCAGTACTAAGATATTAGCTGGTGGAATTTGGTTTTGTCGATTGCTATACATCATACTCAGAGTCTGAAGAAAGTGGGTTGTGACACAGCAGTCAAAATTGATGAGCTACATGTATGATGTAAATAGGATTATGCATGGCCTAATCAATTAAGATTTTTACTGTTTCATTTCAGTATGCTGCTGGTGTTGTGACATACCCATTTACTCTGGTCTCACACATGATGATTGTCAACCATGTTGGGTAAGTTACACTACTCTTGCCTTTCAACAAAATATTAGTCATCAGTGCACAGCACAAGACAACATTTTCTGCCCAGTTTACATGGAGAAATGAAATTTCTCAGTCACCATCTAAGACCATTGTTTTGACTTTTACAAGACAAATTTTGATCAAATATTACAAGGTTAAGATGTACAGCTGTAAGGTGAGGTTAAGTCTGCATCGGGCGAAGTGGCTCATACAGCTGGAATGAATTCTGTTCTTTTTTCCAGCGCTAAACAACTAGGAGTATTTCTACCCCCCCTGGATGGGATGCTAGTCCATTGCATACTTGCTCCTCAGCATTAAATTCACTGGTACCCATTTGTACCTTTTGAGAGTAAAAGTGTCTTGCTCAAGAGCACAATGCAGTGACCACGGCCAGGGATCAAACCTGGGCTGCTCAGTCTGGATTTTAGCACACCAAGTATTAACCGCCTCTACTAAGGTCTACACACTGACAGGAGTAATATTCTAGGCACCGTAGACACATTTTGGCAAGAACTATCTCTTACTCCACATTTAAAGAAACAAAGAAACTGCAAGCACAATGTACCTACGTGAAGCCACCACTTAAGGTGGAGAGCTGATATTATTTTTACTAAGAAATACAAAAAAAAAAACAATGCACATGTAAAAATGTTGTTTCTGTACAGAGCTACATCTTCAGTAATTACGACACATTTTACTTTGTTTGCAGTCTTGCTGGTGGAGAGCCTCCTGCAATGCCAGTGTTTTCTGGATGGACAGATTGTTTTAAATATCTCAGAAAATCAGTGAGTTGGTATTGTTAAAATAAGTTGACCATTGGTCTTAAAAGGTCAACTTCTGAAATAGAGTGGTTGATCCCCAGCCTCCTAAGCAGATATTCTTATGGCTCATCACACTCTACAGGCAACTCTCGCCCTGTGGACAGCTCCTGCTATTACGGAATTACGGACACTTTAGTGGTACCAAAATGACAATTTTATTGTTTTCGACTCTCAATAAAGCAGACACCACGTACTTCTGATATAACATAATTATGTTAAATTACAGTCTGCTGTTCATCATTAATTTGTCAAAATACACTTCAAAAGACTTGTGGAATGTTTATTTTCACATCTATCCTTTTTTTTTGTCTGCACAATAGTCCTTGCTTCACAGACATTGTCTATGTTATTTATTGTAAGATAAGGGCACTTTTTATCTCATGCCCCGCTATTACAGACCCTCGCTATTATGGACACCAAACGACATCCCCGAGTGTGTCCACTATAACGAGAGTTGACTGTATTCAGGGAGGAAGCCCAAACGGCATCCTTATACAAGACTACTAGTTCATCAGACTGACATCAACGGAGAGTACAGTCAAATGTGTTAACCTTGAAATTCAGATTGTCTGGCTGCTGTATATTATTTTTATTAAACACTAGCTTTGTAGGTAACCATAGTCAATTCAATTGATTTTATTTGAATTCAAAAACGAACAAGTAAGGATTGGCATAATATTATTATTATTGTTTGAGGAAATTTATATGGCTTTGCTTTGTGGTCATGTACAATGTTTAACCAGCACCGTTTCTTGCTTAGGGAAACTTGTGGCGTGGTTCAAGCATGTTCCGAAGGACTGTCCGTCAAGTATCTGGGATGTAATTAGACTGGGATGAAGCAAGAACAAAGCCAAGACAGTCAAAGCAATTATTCTAAGCTGAACAGTTTTATGCAATAAGTAATTTATTGTAGGGTGGATACGGGGTGGTGGGGAGGATGTCATTTTTAGAACTGTAACAAAATTCAAGTGGCAGCATGTCATTGACTTTCATGTCTAGGTCTATTTGAATTTAGTGAAAGGCCAGTTCCCACCCTCTGGTATTCTTTGATGAAACCAGCAAGGATGGCTTTTATTTCACTATCGTGGACTGTGCACTTACACTTTTATTTAGTTTGAGCACCTGTAGTATACTTTAGTGAATATTGGTGATAAAAGTCTATTGTTTAGTTTTATTAGCACTGCATTAATAAAAATTAAACTTATTTTTATTAGATGTTAAGTTGGAGTTGACTATTTGTGTTTCTCAAACTCATTAATAAAATTCATCAAGTTTAACAAAGGAAATCATGACCACGATTTTTGGAATCTGATCCTAATATTTATTGGCATGAATTTTTACGATTTTATTCCTTGTTTTTCTATTTAGTTTCAATTGAGAAGATATATCAAACTCTCTAGATAGTGTTTGACCACATTTCCAAACGTCTTGAAGTTCATCAAAAATATTCCACTTTGCATCATATTTCCAACTCTCTTCTTGGTGTTCAGAAAATTTATGTGYTCAAACATGACCAGTCTTTCGTGTGCAATATATTACTTCCACATTATTTGACACTAACACTCTGTGAACGTTGTGCAGTTCCAGAAAATATCCATACTCCCCCCACAGAAGGGATTGGAATTTCCTGGGGGGTGGGGGGTTCTGGAAGACCAAAAAATTTAAAGAAATGTATGAAGCTTAACTGGAATTTCCAGAGGGGTGGGGAGGTGTTAGAAAAAATCCCCTCCGTGGGGGAGGTATGGATATTTTCTGGAACTACACATTGCTTTCACCAAGTTTCCATGAAATTCTAGGGGAGAGGTTTTGATTTGCAACAGCAATCAACGGTCAAAAAATGGCTGAATCCCAGCTGAAATAAACAGGGATCTCTCTTCACTTGCTCAATGTTCATTTGTCCCCTACTTGAAACATCTGACAAAACTGTCAAGACCCTCCCCTAGAGAATTCTGTATTATTGATCTCTCTAGGAAGATGTGTTATGTCTGATCAGTTGCTGTTTTACATGCAAGTAGCAACCAAGAAGAGTCAATGCATGCACCTCTGTAGAGTTTTCATCGTCTGTAATAATCTCTGGGTTGAATATCAGCTAATATCTTAGGACTGTTCAGGTGTGAGCCACTTTAAAATGTTTGCCAATTATATCCAGCAATGAATCCTGTGGTGTCCTTCAAAGTTTTTTTGAACCAGATTAAAGGTTCCTTTAAAGCCATTGTTCATTATCATATGGATTAGATGTTAATAAACGAAATCAACTAAACATAAGTGTTATCAATCAGAGACTTGAGGCCCTGCAACTTGAGTTTACAGTAAGATCTTTAATACAAGAAAAATTCCATTGTATAATTTAATAACAAACATGAATTTGTCATGTGCCTTGGGGCTGACATTGAATCAGTGCAGAGGTTAATCCCAGTGAGCAAACATACCATTGATTTAAAACCTGTAGCTATGTTGTTTGTGTATGTTGGTTCTCTGTCCTGGTACAATTTGAAAGTCTGAGACCAGTCATTCTGTGCAAACTCAGAGTTTGTTCTGCTCTGTACAGTTTGGTAAATATTACTGGTGCATGCATTGACCATTAAATAGGACAGTCAGTTATGCACAAACAGATTAACAGTGCATTGTTAAGAAAATATCCTTATTGACATATAAAGCACAACTTTGGTAGCCAGTTTCTTGAACTGAATTTAGAAAGGCGGTAACTGCATATGAAAATCATAAGCAATATTGTATATTAAAGATACCTCTTCTACTGTCTGTAATGTAACTAATACCTAACAAAAAAAGACTTGATAACTGAATCATCAGCCTTTTAAGAAAAGCTCAGAAACGAACATAACCACAATATGAACCCAGAATGACTGCATTTTGTTGATCAGTACTTGACACATCAGAAACTTGTAATCTGCTGAGATGGCTGTGCCAAGAGTGATATAGAGGATACCTTTGGAATTTTCAATAACTCTTCTCTACATATGAATTCACACGGGTTTTGGAAATATTACTCCTTTTAATACATTCTGGTTATATCTGGTAATATTGATCAGCTACATGAAAATTACTTCAAAAAAAATATACTGAAAATGAAAGTGTGAAAGCATGCAGCAGCAATCTTGAAACTGCTTTCTTTGTTCAAAATAATGTATTTGTCATCACATAAAGAGAAGAAGAATGGTCTAGAATGATCTGTGGAGGCAAAGTTTAGTTTCGTCTTGAACTCTCTGTGTCTAGAACTAGTCTCAAAATCTCAGGCTTGTCTTCACGTCAAATAAGAGTAGCTTAGACTGTTAAAAATTATTATTTGTGAATCATTCATCTCAAGGAAGCTAGGACTTATGTGGCATATTATGAAGTTGAGCAAGGTTCAACAAAGGCTGACATTTCTTTCACACAAATTGTCACAAGAACCAATTTAAAACAATGTATGTTTGTACATGACCTAATTCACCTTCAGCATGTTAGTTTTGAGTCTTGGGCTCGGATTGTTCAGCATTGAATACTAAGCTTAGAATCAAAAATGTAGCCTCAATGTTGGATTATTAAACAAAGACTTTGCATCTCATCAAGTGTTTCATTTGCCATTCTATAACCCTACAAAAGACTTGAAGGTTTTTACTCTTGAATCACACAACACTGCAAATGAAAACATTGTAATACTCTAATGGCTTGGGTAGCTCCTGTCTTGGTTGACATAATTAATAACAGGGATCAGTGTTATTATTGAAACTCCTGAGGATGTTGTTGTGATGGTTTCTAAAAACAACATGATCTCATTCCACAATCAGCACATGTTATGAACAAGATCTGGTGAAGTAGAATGCACGACATTCGTGCCCATCCACACTAGGCAAAGTTTGGTTTATTTTGCAACCATATCTGTCATCACTTCTATTTTACAAGTGTAGGCGGTGATTTTCACCTCTACAAGTTTTTTGCACTTCAAAAGTTCTGTTGCCCTGTCACAGAGTATGCCAAATTTTTGTCAAGGGTCAAAACGGCAGATCCGTCAATTCATTTTAAGGAAACATTAAGTTCCTTCATCGAAAACAGAAGGTGTTTAATTACGTAGGTGACTGTTGTTTTACCGTAAGCAATTTTTGTTATTTATAAGTGCTGATGTTGTAACCAAAATGAAAATTTGGTGGAGATAAGATGTAAGCAAAACAGGAACAAACAACTTTCAGCTGCTTTGTGTGGATAGGCACTTTGGTTCAATAATGAATATGTCTAAATAAGAGATAACTGCCACAAGTACAGTAACCTTGGCACTAAGACATATTATGGAATTACTGTATCAACAACTAGGCTTTAGGACTGCTTTGCCATATACTACGAAAATCTGAACCATACTGGTTGAAAAGTTCCTGTCTATCTAACCAAGACATAGCAATCTCTGTCACTCTAACAGCAAAACATTACAAAATTAATCGAATCAACTATGATATGACACGAAATATAGTTTACAAATAAAACCAATTAATTAGTTATGTAGGAAATGTACAAGAAAGGACGGTTTTCGATTGACTGGGACCATATCTTGATCACACATACTAGCTAATGTATTTCTAGGCTTGTTTCTCTAATCCTTGAAAAACCTGAAGACGCTCGCCCTTCAGCTCGATGACAAAAAGCCGTCCATCTGGAGCAATCGAAAGATCCACGGGGAAAATTAACTGTCCTGGACTTTTGCCACGACTTCCAAACTTCGATAAAAACTTCCCTTCTAGGCTGAAGACTTGTATCCGGTTATTCCAGCCGTCGCAGACCAGCAACTGCTCGTGTTCATCGACTACAAGTCCACGAGGTCTGTTGAATTGTGCGTCGCCTATGCCGGGCTCTCCGATGTTAAACAACAACTGTCCCTGACCATTGAACGCTTTCACACACTGATCGTCACTGTAAGACACAAAGTACTTATCGTGACTGTAGACAACGTACGAAGGACGGCTGTTTGTAGAGGGATCACTAAATTGCATCACCAATGATCCGTCCGGCGAGTAAACTTGAACTTCTCCTTTTTCGCCTCCACTGCAAACCGCGATGTTGCCATTACTTGTCGTACAGACGCCCCAGGGATTTCTGAGGCTTTCGCTGCCAAACTCTTGTATTAACTCGCCATTTGAAGAGAACACTAACAACCTGTGATTGTCAGAATCCGTGACGATGATATTATCTTGTTTATCGTACGTAGCACTGCAAGGAAAATTCATGAGGTCATCCTTGACTCCTTGACTTCCAAACGCTCTCAGAAACTGGCCATCGGAGCTAAATAACTGGACACGGTGATTACACGTATCTATGACAGCAACTTCACCTTTGTTGCTAACAGCTATTCCTTGTGGATATCGAAACTGACCCAAACCAGTTCCATTCGAACCACACACAGTCAGAGACGCCATTTTCTTCACTTCGTAGTGCCCGGTGAGGCATTATGGGAAATTCAAAGCCACGCTTTGCAAAATGTATCGAATCAGATCGACTCAGTCTTTCATTGGTTGAACATTTCCCGCGATTCAGATACGGTCGAGTGTGCCCACGCTACCCACGCGTGAAACAAGCCACGTTCAGGATCGCATTCTGTTCTTCCGTGGCTTTATTCGATACCTACACAATACGATACAATGCAAATCTATTGTTATCTGGCTTAGCTGGCTAAACTTTAGAAGAAAAAGGATAACCGATAGTCCTTCCCACTAAAATTTTACCCGCGCTAAGAGTCCTAAGAGCTAATAAAGAAAACCCAAATGGCTGATTTTAGTTATTTGCCTTCTGAAATGGGAAATAACCTAGTCGTGCAAAAGTCTTATCACACGATTAAGTCAATTTAAAGGGTCATTAACCGAAATCAACCAATCAGAGTTACGAGTTATGAGTTAAAAAGTGTCAAAAGTTCACTCCTTACATAATCTAAGATTTAACGGAAAATATCAATTAAATTTATCGAAAATGCTTCCACAGAAGTTTAGTTTCGTGGGAAATAAAGAGTTAGATAACTAAAATGAATGGATCAACAACTTGAAACTTCACAATCAATACTAACGCTAAATAAACGACGTTTCAATGTCATCTTGACATCATAATCAGGCATTATAAGTAGCGTCCACACTGCGACGGAGGAATTTGAAAACGCGGCTTTATTTCTACGGTTACGCCTACTGTCCACAKTAATCCGTCAKGAAAACGGAGCTTTTCGAAAACGATCTCCAAATCTAAGGAATTTGAAAACGCCGGGTTTGCGTTTTTGTGTGGAGGGAACTTTTCAAAAACTATGGCGTCACGATAACAAGACATTCATACGGGTGCTAATTACAAAACAGAGATAAATCTCAAACAAAGGCTTTTGGTCGAATGTAGCCTGCGTAGCTTGGCCGTTTTTAAACAATTTGTGTGCGCTAAGAAAGCGGCGAAGCCGTGATGACGAGAAATTGCTTAAAAAACTGCTGAAACCGCCAAGGTACGCAGGCTAGCTCGAATAGAGTCTGATTGCGTGTTCAGATCAGTAAATAAATAAAACAAAGGAAAGGAAAAAAAAAAAAAGAGATATTGCAACTTATCAAGAAGTCACTCTCAGGCTTCAGATGTATGCAGTTAATCTTTTAGGTCCAGTCTAAAACTTTGAAGAGATGCGGCATTTTTGACGTTTAGAGGTATTTTATCCAAAATTCAGCAGCAGCGCTAGCTAATCCGATGCTGAAGTTTCTTTTGCTTCTGTTGGTTGACAAGTCCAGACATAAATAACCACTGTTGTCTCTCAATCAGAATTGTGCGCTTGAAGTTTACGACAGTAAAACTACTTGAAACGTCACCGTCGCTAATTTAGGTCTGTAACCTCGAAAAATCACTTAAAAAGATCTCATTACGGGTGCACCACCTAGCTTCTGAGGGGGGAGGGGGAGGGGGGCGGTGGGTTATACCAAGAGAAAATGAGAGGGAGTCATTTTCTCTCAGTCGGTTATACTGAAATTAATGATATACCCCACAAGTATCCTTAACCAAAAAAGCTTCATGCACACGATCACTGCCGAAAAAAAATGTCACGCACGTTCAGTGAGCCGACAGAAAGCATGTTACATGGAGACGAAAATATCGTGCATAGACACGTCCCGAGAATACAAATTCCTACTGCGCGAAAGGGTTGAAAAAGTCATGCCTATACCCCCGCCCCCCTCCATCAAGAGTCAAATGGTTCACCCTTTTTGTTTTAATACAATTGGGCAAAGAAAAAGAGTGTAGATGTTAAAGGAAAACGGGTTTTAAGGTACGTAGGTACATTTCTTCAACAAAGACAAACAACATTATATTATAAATCTCAATTTATTTTCACAATTAGATACACATTTACTCTGACAGAAAAAAAATTCTATTTTTGTACAGTGTCACTTTTAGTCATGAGCTCCTGTTGTTAGCCATCTAATGCTTGTGAGAGCTAAGCTGATGATGGCTAACCAGTTCAAGTCACAGTCACCGCTTTTGCCTTCAAAAAGGATTCTTTCTCTTCCCTCCTGGTTTTCCAGAGAGCCATCCTGGAAGCTTCCTCGCAGTTTCTTGAGAAGCAGGTGCGGGTTTACTTGCGCACTTTATCGGTTGGGTGCCAGACTTGAAGAATCTTTGGCTCTGGGGCTCAGCTGGGGTGCCCTGAGAGAATGCTCCACACGAGAGCTCCAAAATAGCGATGACCAATTTAATGTGACCATTCGACACATGAGGAGGCAAACGATCTTTGATTGCTGACAACTTGCTGATGTCTGGAAAAGATACAAAAATTATTGCTACTATTAGTAGTATACAAATCCCCTCAGTTAAAAGCTCAGACGCCACATTTATCGCTTCATTCACGCGCATACAGCAATAATGTTACACTAGAACCGTAGTACTAAAATCCGTTGCAATACAGACCGCCTAGTTACATGTAAACAGTGGTCTTTCTTTTAAGGTTAACACCTTTACGACAAGGATAGGTAAAGGATAAAGCCAATTGGTCCATAAGGCCCGAGTTTATTCCGGTTTCTGTAGCACCAAGCGACTAGAAATATTTCTACCCACCCTGGATGGGANTTACGACAAGGATAGGTAAAGGATAAAGCCAATTGGTCCATAAGGCCCGAGTTTATTCCGGTTTCTGTAGCACCAAGCGACTAGAAATATTTCTACCCACCCTGGATGGGATGCTAGTCCATCGCAGGGTTACCCCCAGCATTAAATTCGCCGGTACCAATTTATACACCTGGGTGGAGAGAGGCATTGTGAGAGTACAGTGTCTTGCCCGAGAACACAACACAATGTCCCCGGCCAGGGCTGGAACCCGGACCGCTCGATCTGGAGTCGAGCGCACTAGTCTAACCATGAGGCCACCGCGCCTCCTCCGAGTGAGGGGCTGATTTAAAGGGAAACACAAAATCGCCTTAAGACATTGAGCGATGGTATGAGCGATGGCACGAGAAGCCCATGACATCTTAACAAAGCTCAATCATATTTAATACCTGAATTGATAGGAGGTGACCTGATTGTCTTCGTCACCAGCTCTTGCATTTCTGCAGTGAGTCCCACTAAACAAAATATAAAACCACACAAATCAGACACACGTGACAGCATCCTTACCATGGCTTATCAGTGCACTTTTCATATCTGGTTAAGTATACTAGCACTGAAATAAAAAATTCAACTTCAATACAGTCGCTTTAATCAGTCGCAAATAGGGGGGATGACGTGTGAGGCCATCTCTTCCCTTCTCAGCTTCCTTCACTATTCCCTATGTCTGTGAATTGACCATTTCCGAGTTACCTTGTGCCTCTGTTTCAAAACGAGTCCTCATTCAAAACCTTACATATGAAAATGACTTTGATTTGCATGAAAATGAAACTGTAGGCAGAACACATTTTCATATGATTGGTTTTGCTACAGAGTCACAAGGTAACTTGGAAATGGCCTATTAGCAAAAGCCAACTCAAAAGCTCTGTTACTTTGGCGGCTGCAAACGCATCTGAAACTCAATTTTTTTTGTTATATAACCTACTTTTGTTCTCTACTGTTGACTGCATTTTTCTCTTTGTAATCAAAATAGTGTGAATAAAGATTTGATTTCAGTTCATTTACAAGCAATGTTCCATACCTCTCTTGTAATCCACTGGATATCCAGCCTTCAAAGCATCCGAAAGATGGCCAAAAATTGTTCCTTCCACGAGGTTCCGTAATTTAGCCACTTCTTTCTAAAATCATAAAGAAGGTGTAAACTACAAAAATACATTTATAAGCATTACAAAACGTCGAGAGCTTGCTGAGAAAAGAGACAGTCCATAAGAACCAAGAATGAAAGGCAACGCCTGCTGAGAGATATAACGGTGAATCGGAGTTATAGAAATCATGGTACACACCATCTAGGCCATAGTCACAAGTGTTGCCTTCTTAAGCAGGAAATAAAATTATGTAAAATTGCTAAAGGATTGTTGGGTATTTCTTTGAATAATTCAACCTCTGTGAATTTGGCGGTACACCAAGATATTAAAAATATCTTAACTGATTATTTACGATTCNTTTTTTTTGTTATATAACCTACTTTTGTTCTCTACTGTTGACTGCATTTTTCTCTTTGTAATCAAAATAGTGTGAATAAAGATTTGATTTCAGTTCATTTACAAGCAATGTTCCATACCTCTCTTGTAATCCACTGGATATCCAGCCTTCAAAGCATCCGAAAGATGGCCAAAAATTGTTCCTTCCACCAAGTTCCGTGATTTAGCCACTTCTTTCTAAAATTATAAAGGTGTAAACTACAAAAATATATTATAAGCATTATAAATATGTTGAGGGCTTGTTGAGACAGTCCATAAGAACCAAGAATGAAAGGCAACGCCTGCTGAGAGATATAAGGGTGAATCGGAGTTATAGAAATCATGGTACACACTATCTAGGCCATAGTCACAAGTGTTACCTTCTTAAGCAAGAAATAAAATTATGTAAAATTGCTAAAGGATTGTTGGGTATTTCTTTGAATAATTCAACCTCTGTGAATTTGGCGGTACACCAAGATATTAAAAATAACTTAACTGATTATTTACGATTCAGTTGTTATTAGAAATCAGATCTTTATTGATTGAATGACTGACTGACTGACTGACTGACTGACCGACCGACTGATTGATTGATTGACTGACTGACTGACTGACAGACAGACTGACTGATTGATTGATTGATTGATTGATATATTGATTGACTGATTGATTGATTGATTGATTGATTGATTGCCAGAACCTTGTCAGTGGGGATGAAGTACTGTTTTTAGCAGATCCCTGCAGAGAGTTTCCTGTGTGCACCTCAAGTGACCTCGCGCTACAAAGGCATTACAATCATACATTACATATTGCATGAGAATTTCTCCGATAAGGGATTAGGCTGAGAAGATTTTTTTTTCATCCGTTGACTGATAAATTGATCACTCACAATGTTCATCTGCTTTTCGTGGAACAGGTTGTACGTAGTAAGTACGGTCTGGCTCAGCTCACGACG